CCTGAAATTATAAAAATTGCATCGGGATGTCGTTGGTTACCGACACAAACAACTACATGTACACATTGATCCATAATAATTCAAAATACAGGCAGAGAGGAAGCACTACGTTAGCTATCTCTACTATAACAACTACATGACAGGCACAACGTTAGCATATCATAAGTCACCAACACAGTAAAGTAATCAATAGTGAACTAGAGGCAAGACGTTAGCGTAGCTCACAATCATAAAACATACTCAGAGAGGAAGCACTACGTTAGCTATCTCTGCTATAACGACTACACGACATAGGCACGGCGTTAGCATAGTTCACTCATAAAACATACTCAGAGAGGAAGCACTACGTTAGCTATCTCTGCTATAACGACTACATGACATAGGCACGCGTTAGTTACATGATCATAAAACACAGGAAAAACACAATCATAAGATAACCATAGGCACGACGTTAGCATAGTTCACAATCATAAAACATACTCAGAGAGGAAGCACTACGTTAGCTATCTCTGCTATAACGACTACATGACAGGCACGACGTTAGTGTATCATGAGTCACGAACACAGGAAAAAACACAATCAATAGTGAACCATAGGCACGACGTTAGCATAGTTCACATAAAACATACTCAGAGAGGAAGCACTACGTTAGCTATCTCTGCTATAACGACTACATGACATAGGCACGACGTTAGCGTATCATGAGTCACGAACACAGGAAAAAAACACAATCAATAGTGAACCATAGGCACGACGTTAGCATAGTTCACAATCATAAAACATACTCAGAGAGGAAGCACGACGTTAGCTATCTCTGCTATAACGACTACATGACATAGGCACGGCGTTGGCATATCATGAGTCTCTAACACATGTGTAATAATTAATACCTACGTTAGCATATTATTCACACGCACATTACACACACAATACACATCAGATATCACACAATGTTAGCGTACCATATTGTGTGGGAAGGACACATTTCTACAGTCCGAAGCTATCCACATAGCACTAGAAACTCCGCCACAGTCTGTGTCGCGTTTCCACACGAGTATACCATCTATTAGCAGTCGTAACACTTAGCGCTGTAGCCTTCACCACACACACCACACCACACTCGATCTTGTCAGACGTTCTGTATCCGCTCGGACACACCTGACTATGACTTTTAGTCCATCCTAAATATTCTTTTGATGGAATCCTGTAATCATACACATTGATAAGGCACATACATTATCACCGAATCATGATTATTGATCATCGGTAAAACTTACTTCAATTTTTTTTTATCACGCAATCAACATGGTTCACATGTGAAACAAGTGAATTTATTTCTGCAAATAGACTACAAGGCAGCACTTTTACACGTCAATTTTATCAAGCGAACGATGAGGTCGACATTTCCTAACTGACTACTCTGAGAAGAAATGCCGAAACAAACTCAGAGGTCTGTCTCTTTTAAAGTCCAGACAAATATGTATAAAAAGATTATGTGTGAGAACCGTGCAAGTTCTCTCTGTAGTGGCCTTTTGAGGAAAGAACCACAACAGTTTGAGCGGACCCGTTCTGAAAGCAGTACGCATGTGTCGGTTTACAGTCAGCTCAATTAACAGATGAGGCTGAGTGATTCGACGAACAATACCAACCTAAAGAACATTTGCGTGGGTCGCACAAATACTCAAACTGTCAGAGTATGAGTAAGAAATAAGAAAAGAAAAGTCTCGCACGGTCCTAGCACTAACAATTGTAAAAAATAGAGGTAAATGTCAAGTTTAAAAAAATATAAATTTTTCAAATGAAAAACAATATCACATTATGCTAATAATGTCAAATTGCATATAAAAAGAAATGTAACTATATGTGTCAATATGTAAAACGATGTCGTCAATATGTAAAACGATGCCTACAAGTAAACGTTACTTATCGCCAGTCAGCTAACACAAGTAACACTAGCGGTTCAATACGTGGACATCGTTGTTGCTGACAATAAGAAGAGTTTTCATAAAATCCAGCATGAAACCTCTCAAGTAATATATCAAGGTGACAAACTCGAAATAGTACACTGAAAGCTGGGTTGTGTACATATTTGAAATTTTAAGCAAAAAAACGATAACAAATTAGGCATCATCTCTCTCTCAGCATACAATGATGTATCCTGACGCTCTACGGAGTCTAGTCACGTTTCTAGGAGGAACAACCGATCCATACAGCAGCTTGTTCACCGGTAGTAGAAAGCACTCTCGGCCTCTCAAGAGGTTACTCATGCGGTAGACAAACCAAATTAAGTCTGTATTTACAAATTTGCTAAACAAGTGCAGAACGGACATACATATTATGGATTACAGTAACTGTGAGGTGCATACTGGCAACCTACCTTCACTACAGTACAACAACCACATCAACACTCTATCAAGGGTAACGCTGCTAAGGAGAAACATACACATACTGCTGTCTTCCATTATAATAACAGTACTTCCCTGTACAACTACCTAAGATATGATTCAAGCAGTAACATGTAGCATTTTTCACAATTCTGCACAAGTTGTTAACTTGTGGTGAATGGTGCTTATTAGAAGAGAAATATGTTTTTCATCAACATACAGCAGTTCTCCTGTTCTGATTTTAATCTTTATTCTTTGGATTACATTACTTTGATAAAAGATGTAAACTTCAGCTGAATTCACAGCTAAACCTGAACACATAAAAAAAATTTCAGCTCCATCGGCTAAAGATTTGTGATTCAAAATTCAGTTGCAAGATGCCACTTCAAACGCAATACATACATTAAGTTAAGTAAAAGTTTGTTAATGTATTGACCTCTCTCAAGTGTAAACATAACAAATAATGCCTGATAACATAAGAACAAACAATGTTAATATTAGTTAACTTGTTAACAGTTAATGTATTTTGCTTTGTAACAAACGACACCAACAACTTATAGTTGAAACTTGGTTCAATTTTACTGCTGCTGTAATATGCTTATCATCGACGCATTAACTTTAACTGTAACTTTTAACAGTAATCGATAAGCATATTCAGCATTCATATGTTGAATATTGATCAGTATTCATACTCATGACTTCGTACAACATATTCAAAAGCACAAACGTTTCACAAACTAATCCTTCACATTACTCTAAATACAACCAATGGTAACCCATGCATTGATACCCTTGGACTTAGCTTTTAAGCAGTTGCCGTTGTAAAACATTTACTCATTTTTATTTCAATAATTCAAACTTTATATTCTTAGTATCTTACTGCTTCATACCAGGTCTGCTGTCTATATTGTTGATCAAAAAAATTAGCAGATAAAGAATACTAAATATAAAAGTAAGATTAGATCTCACCAGCCTGGTCATTGAATGTATTGCTTCTACAACACAGTGAGCCAAGCTTGCATAGCAGTCCAAGCGAAGTCAATTCACCTACTGCCACCAACCATCGACGCTCAGCTACTGCCGCAGTCATGAACTGTAGCTGTAGCGACGTCAGCACAGGCAGGCGCACCGGTGTTGAGCTCACGTTTCCTCACCAGCAATTGGCAGCATCACTCCTCCATGCAGTCAAACAAATCAAAATTTAGTGTTTCAGTTCACTTTACTTTACACAAGCCATGTTAGCAGAATCGCCTAAGAATATTAGCAGAATCACTTCAGTACCTACGTGACATTCATTGTCTCTCCTTACTGTTTGTAACAGTAAAGGACATAGGTAGGTATAACAAATTACAATGACAGAACTTGAGATTGTTAAAGATTTTAACTTAAAAGAAAATTAGTAGGAATAGTTTAAACATTGAGTTCACAATTTTATTTATTTGTAGCTTACACGTACAAATACACAAAAGCATTATAGCTTTTCAAACGGGAATTGGAACGTACTCACCGTAAGTTTCAGTCATAGTTATACGTTACCACAATTTGCCACAATACCTCGATCACAACGTACCTACTAAGTACATGAACACGAACTTACATAAAACAAATGAAAAACTTTGAATAGTCAATTTGCCGTATCATGTAAGTATTATCTACATAGAAAGTCAGAACGCATGGAAAATAATCGTATCCCACTTCTGATATTAGAAAACTTAAAAACTGTCATAGAGTTCACCTTACTCTTTGATATTAGTAACTTATTTGTTTTATACCACATTGGATTTTAGAAACTCAGGAGGCAGGAGAAATAAAGAGTACCACCATTACAATTCATGAATTCACCTTATATTGTTAACATCGAAATCAAATTACAAATTCAGAACTAGCTAAACCATAACTATTAATTGGAAAGAAAAACAACAACAATAACACATGAATAGGCAAATTGACTTTCAAATAGAATAAAATTCCCTCAACACCAAATACGCCGTCTCAATAATTTCCGAGTTCCCGCCATCTTGACTTTTTCATTGTTCGAACCACAGATTATATTTTCCCGCTACGCGATGACATTTCGTTCCTTTTTGTCTATGCTTCTAACAATACAAATTGTTAAAGTTTATGGTCAGTTGGAAATTTTAATAGAAATATTTAAGAGTTTGATTCGCTGATTTTCGTTATTATGAGAAAATAAAAATAAATAGTTAAATATTGATGTTTGTTAAAATAGGTTCACATGCCAAGGAGAGGATGTAGAGATTTAACTTTTGATGTGAAGTTTTATTGATTTATTTTTCGACTACTAAGTACACCAACAATATCTAAATAAAAATAGTTTGTTGTTTATTTTTCTAAATGCTAACTTGTGCTTAGTCGTAATTTCGGAATCAATTATCTATAGATCACTTACCAAAAGCCCGGGGGTCAAATTCATAAATGATACATCACTAGTGACATAAGATTCCACGTCAATCGAGTTGGAGAGAAAATTGGCATTTTGCCCCAAGTTTCTTGCTCCGTTGGACTGTTTGTTACAAAAGTGAATGGCCTACAATCTAGTCGGATAGTAGCCGTAGTTTGTTACAGTCTAGTAAATATATTACTTATTCAATCAACATGAAGTTATTATATTTAACGCTCCTAGTCCTCCCAGCGGCTCTCCTGTGTTTCCAGAGTGGTAAGATATCTGAAAATTGTTATATTCTATCTCTGATATAAGTACGTGGCAGCATTTGTGGTATACTTTAAAGAGAAAGTTTTCTTTCGAAGATTTTTGCAACATATAAAAGTAGTTCTCCAATACTCATTGAAATATGTATTTGTGAATGCAACACAAAATTCACATAACTATTTGTAAGTAACCTGATGTACAAGATAACACTTTCTTTCAATGAAAAGTTCTTACTATTGCCGAAAATTGTATTACAGTTTACATAATTATGTTACCTTTGTAACGGTAAACTATTTGGCAAAGATTTGAGTTAAGGTTTTGTCATAATTTCAAGACTCTTTGCTTTGATAGTTATAGAGATAGAAGTCCATAGTTACTAGGTCATCAGTGTGCCTTAGAACCTTTAAATCATTAATGAAAATGATAATCTTTTCTTCTGATAAGTGTATCAGAGATAATAAAGTAACTAGAGCTTTCCCCATATGTTTACCTACACCCATATGTTCAAGTTGATTTCCTTAAATAACATATTATTCTAAGTCCAATATTCATTACTTATTTCTATTTTACAGCCAACACAATTCTGGCGAGAGCTGAAGAAGATGAGCTTGATGATGTAGTGGATATTGAAGGGGAAGACAACCAGGTTGTTGGTGATGATGCCCTTGGTGACGATGATGACTCCGTTGTGAAGTCTTCGCAAGATATTGACACTACTATACTCTTTACTAAACCTATTACGAGCTTAGGAGATGCTGTATTTGGTAAGATTAATTTACTTACGTCTTGTTTGTATTTAGTGGGTTAATCACATCTAAATCTAATATCATATTAATAAGAATTTAAACTAAATAAATTAATACAACTTAAAATATAAATAACTAGAAACTAAAATATTTACACTTTAAAAGAGTAATAATAATAAATCTTTTTTCTTTCTTTATAATATCATATGGCTTATAAAGAAAGAAAAGAGGGTTTTTAACTACAAATAATGTTTAATATTTCTTAATCAGCAATCATTATGTTTATGAAAACTATTCAAAGCAAATTTTCTGTGAAATAAGTTAGCATAATACTTCTTTTTGTGACCTACATGGCAATTAGAGTGTAAAACACTGAATACTTACTAATATAGATATCTAAGATAAAAAATATTTCTCAGTTTTCAAATATAAAGTTCTTTATTATTCCCTTTATTTTGCCACTTTTCTTATTAGATTCAAATTGTCAATATTAACCAAATCTGACTACCCGTTTTTTTTAAAGGACCATTTATTATCAACATCTTGATTAGACAATATTAATAATTATATATATAGCAGTTTGAAAACAAACTCGTATTGTTCTACACATATGACCAATAATGCAAGTAAGCTACAACTAAGCTGAAGTGTATATGTCAGGGAACTAAAAAGACTATCAACTCTTGTGCGGTTTCATTGACTCTCTTATTAAACATAGTATGATTTTTATAGCCTTCCTTGATAAATCCAACACAAAAAATAAAGTTTTTATAATAAATATCGTAAGACATACTAAATTAACTAAGAATCGCGGGTTACTCACGTGGATTTACTGAGAAAAGCTCTACTAGTTTCGAACCATAGAGGCGACATCGCCACGACGGCGCACGCTGCTCATGAGAAAGAACCCCTTTGTGGTTCGAAACTAGTAGAGCTTTTTTCAGTATATTCTTGTGAATAACCCGCTATTTTTAGTTAAGAAAAAGAATTATTCAATTGGAACTAGTAGTTCCAGATCGGTTGTCTCAAACAAAAAACTCTTCAGCTTTATGTAATTATTTCGGTACCTAATTTTATAAATACTAATATGTAATTTTCTTTTTTTCAGACCTTCAAGCTGGCTATCCAGTGGAATTCTTAGTTGGATTCATCAACAAGGGTGCTGAAGATTACTTGGTAGAATCAATGGAAGCTTCCTTCAGATACCCCATGGACTACACATACTACATCCAGAACTTCACCGCTCTGCCTTACAACAAGGAAGTTAAGCCAAAGCAGGAAGCTACCTTCGCATACTCCTTCATCCCCAATGAAGCCTTCGCTGGCCGACCATTCGGTTTGAACATCCAGCTTAACTACAGGGACGCCAGTGGCAACTTCTACCAGGTTAGTATTATGAATTTCTTTTTCTTTTAAAATTGAATCTTATAAAAGGTATCTTAAGTTTGGTCAGCTTTTCACCCCTCGCGTTAGTAATGACTAATGAAAATCTAATATAAACCTGTTCAGTAGTATTATTAGTAGAGGTTCAGAACTTTTCAATTCTGTATTTAAGAAAGCATGTAAAACTGCCTTTGTCCTGTGCCAGATCTCTTTCTAAACATCCTATTGAGTCATGAGGAAACTCGGCATTGTAATCCTTACTTCCTTACTTATATTATTAATCGGAAAGTGAGTTTATTTGTTTGTTTGTTCCGATTTCACGCCGTAACTACTAAACCGATTGCTTTATATTTTTTCAGACGTAAAGTTAGAAGTCTGGATTAAATAATAGGGTACTTTTTATCCCGGAAAAATTAGATATTCCGGAGGGAAAAAAACAGGCTACTTTTTATCCTTTTGTGACGCGAGCGAAGCCGCGAGTAAAAGCTAGTATAACTATAACTCCTGTCTTGGCTAGACTCTCAAGAGTTAGGTGCCGTAACCAAAAATTCATTGTCGTCATCAGTCGGAAGACTGTTGAGCAAAGGCCATACGTTACCGTGGTATGGCGTACCAGAGGCATATCGGTTTCATACATTTACTATGGATCGTGTGTTGCAGTCGCAAGTGATTGGCGGCTATAACGCCACGACACGCTACGATAATATATTTCTGCCTTTATTAAATGGGCAACTGGCCATTACTATAATACTACATGGTTTGTTCAAAAATGACGAAATTACTAATATTTCCGTTTTTTATGCAGGAAGCGGTCTACAACCAGACCCTGAACATTGTGGAGGTGTCAGAAGGGTTGGACGGGGAGACGTTCTTCCTGTACGTGTTCCTGGGTGCTGGTTGCGTGTTGGCGCTGGTGCTCGGCCAGCAAGCTCTGTCGTCGTTAGCTCGGCGCCGCGCCCCTCGCCCCGCTTCACGACCCATCGAGGTTGGCACCGCTAACGATGTCGACTACGACTGGCTACCTAAAGAAGTCGTCAACCAACTCAGTATGTATTACTTGCAACCATTTTTCTTCTTTATACCAAATTATTTAGGATTAGTGCAATATCTTGCATTCTTTTCTGCAATGTCATCGTATCTGGAAGTTAATTTTCTATGATATTATGCTTCACAATCTATTCATGTTATTGTCTCTTGACGAATATCATATCACGAGAAAGCTGAAGCAGGATAGTTCAATTAGGCTTTCAGTCATCAGTTTCCGTGTTAACAATTTTTTTAAACCGAACATATATTATGCTCTTGTGATAATAAAAATCTCTTAAATAATGAATTTTATATTAAAACTTATTTTTACTTGTTACAGAAAAATCACCGAAGAGTCCTAAACAGTCGCCTCGCTTGAGGAAGGCGAAGAGGTCGGCTGGGGACGACTAAATAAAGGTCGTGATAATCGAACCCAGTGCTCTGAGCACTCGAGCAGTGCTGAGTGAAACACCGCGGCACTAAACTAACAATAGTCCTGATTCTGACAGCTGTCATTAATAACCATAGTCTGTCATATCATCGATATAAATACTTTTTCATAGACAAGTCAGATGATCAGGCCTATTATTATTTTAGTCGATTTTTATACAGACTGTGTGGTTTGTAGTTGCTAAGTTTAGTGTGATGTGAGAATAAATTATGGAACAAAGTGTGGAAGCTTTTAACAACGTGAGCGATAAATAATGTGAGAATATTATTTAATAAAATGTTAAATTTTTATTTATTTTGTTTTATTGTCAATTGTTCTGTAAGTATACCATGTATCTTTAATGTGTTCTGGTGTTCAATAACGACCTAATGACCAAATATTTACTTATGTCACTACAAATTTGTGTGATGGTAAGATAGGTATTTAATTACAACTTAAAATTGAGTAGCTTTTCAGTATTCAGGCGTAACTTTACAATCCCCTAGGTTAGCCAAGACTTTCAACCTAACAACTTTATTATAAAAGGATGCGACTCATATCATAGGTAATGAAAATTCGCCTCTGCCTATCCCTATGAGGTTGAGAATAAAAAGGCGTGACGTTTTTTTCTACAGCATCGAGCCTTCCTCCAATAAATGGACTATCCAATACAAAAAAAATTAACTCTTCAGCTTCGTAGATAGTACAAGTATAACAATAACTGGGATTGCTTTGATGGCCTTCCTTCAATATTGTACACACATCACGCACAGACCCACATTATAAGGTACTGTCTGACAAACTTAAAACATTTTCGACTTTATTACAAGGCATAAAAGTTCAAAACCTTTTGTAGAAATGTAGCTTGGTCAGTGTTGCTATGAGTAGTTTACTTTTTAAACTCTGTGTACCTACCTACTACATAACTCTGAATTATTATTATGTAGTTAAAATAAACAATTATATCAATAAGGTGTCAAGTGAACCTACCATAATTATTAGTGTAACGCGGCAATTCGATTTTGGTTTGTGTCGAACGCACGCGCGCTACTCTAGTGGCAACGCGCCACCACACTATTTCCTCTTCCCCCGCTTCCCCGCCACTGACCGCTCGACGCTTGCGAGGACGCAAGAGGAGAACGAGTCCTGCGCCGGAGCCGCGACGCACACGCCCATATTTGTGCCGCGAATATTTTCTGAGTTTTGTATTATTGTGCAACTTTGTTTTATATTTAGTTTATTTCCAATATATACAGTTTACAGTCATTCATGTGTCGAACGTTATTTCACGCCCCTGAAAACCCACCACCAAGAACAATCTTCTTCAACTATATTACATTAGTAAATTAAATAAGGCAACTAAACAAGCGCCCAGGGGCCAGGTTATAGAGGAGTGCCGCGAGATGCGGGTGCCCAACTACGCATACAGTCAAAAAAAAAATTTGTGTCGCCAATTTGGTGCTTTCTTATGGCGCTCTCTTCCCGAGCGTGCGGCGCGTCACGTTCCGCATACGCCTTATGAACCATCAGACCACCACAGATAGGTCCAGTAGGGCTGATGCGGAGCCACGGAGGACATAACGGGTTCCCGGGGTTCCGGCTCGAAATGCAGGAGTAGGAACGGGGTGGTTTTTAGTCAGTAAGAGCCTGACGCTCCTTCTCGCTTCACCAAAGGCGGGAGAAGTCATTGAATAATATTCCACCCTTAAAATAAATGGACGCTCTCTATATAAATACACCTCTGCGTTGTAAACCTTCCCTGAATTACAGAGTGATGTTGACTTAACAAGTATTATTTTGTCGTAAACACATACATTTTACTATAGAAAATATAATAATGTTTTATCGTCATAACAATTATCGTCCAATATCGATCTGTAAAATTGAAGAAAATTAAAATTTCCTGGGCTACCTTAAAGTATACTTTATCCATTTAAACCTAAACATTCTAGTCTACGAGTTCTATATTTACGCTCATCAATAGGTATTTTTATGAGTTACTTATATAATATTTTCCTGTTTTACATAATCAACAGTAAATTATAAAGTTAGTTAACAATGGATAGCTAACTAAACGTATAGCCCCGAGGACTTATATAATCGTGAGCATCGTGAGACATAGATACTAAATTAACTAAAAATTTTCGAAACTAGTAGAGCTTTTCTCAGTATATTCACGTGATTAACCCGCGATTTTGAGTTAATTGACTTACATAGTATTTACGTATTGGTTGGTTCATTGAAACCGGCCAATCAGAGCGCCGAACGCGATAACGTTTCGATCTCGATAAACGTAAAAGAAACGTGCTAAGCCCTCTGAATATCAACTGTAACATATCTCGATAACGTCGAAAATCCATTGCAGTAGATAGAATCGGAGTGCTGCCCTCTATGTCTTTATTTTTGAACACTTATTGTTTTTAATTTAAATTATTATATTTTATTTGGGAATGGGAATAAAACCCTAGTTATGGCCACACTGTGCCACAGATTACATATTATGTGCCTTATCTACCGCCTGGACTGGACTTGACCGGTCGGTCGGTGACTCATAAAATATACAAAAACAACCTTTGCGAACACTTCAAAACTGTTATCGAACACTTCAAAACTATTACTAATAATATCGAATGATTTTAAAACTACATAGTTTATAAGAAATCAAGGAGATCAAACGTAAAACTAGTTTTGTTAATAAACCTTAAAATATAACGAGGACTTTAACCGGTAAGTAGCTATTTTACATACAGTTTCTCTTGTAAATCAAGCTTTACTTATAAACTACTGTAAATATGATGCAACTGGTCACAATGGTGTGTTAACACAACTCTACCATACTTACGCATAGAAATATTGTGATGTGTAAACTATAATGTGTAGCACCCTGTTGTTTTACAAACTATAAATACACAACTGCAGATAGAGGGAAACATGCACAAATAATATTTGACACAGTGGGTTCAGGGTTTGTTGTATCATATTATTAGAATACTAGCTTCTACCAGCGGCTTCGCTTGCGTTCTCAGGGGCTAAAAGTACCCTATATGTTACCCAGATAATAATCTAACTCTGTTGTAAATTTCATCCCGGTCCCGTCAGCCGTTCTGATGTGACTGAGTAACAAACATACACATAAACTCACATATTTTCACATTTATAATATCGGTTCAAGCTAATTTCAACCATCGGTCCTACAATTACAGCTGCAAGTCCACTGCGAGCAACCTAACATTCGACAAACTTATATTTTGTTTGGTACAGTAACTGTATCTAGGGATTGAGCCGCACAATTAAGTTTGTTTTTTCGTGTATATATTTTTTCGGGATAAAATTTTCCTAGTGTGTTGCCTAGGATATTAAAGTACAATCCTACCAAGTTGCATTGTAATCGGACCGATAGTTTTTGCGTGTTGCGTGACAGCGTTACAGACAGATATAAACAATTTTTCTTAATCACAAGGGTTCAGTTTCTATCTAGTAACACTTTATTGCGAATTTATTCATTATCCTTTGAAATTCGAAACCGGTGGAAGAGCGGCCAGTAAACGATCGGCTCTACAGGACTGAGCGGAACTCAGTTCCTTGCCCATTTACGAAAGGGTAAGCCGAATAACATTCCTACCTATTTGTTTTACGAAAAACGGAAAATGTTATCCAGGCTAAGGTCTACGGTCTACAGAGCTATTTAAAATAGGTAACCTTAAAAAACACGATTAGCAATGTGAATAAAACACTCGAATTAGTATAAAATATTTAATGTAGAGGTAAAGAGATTTTGATTGAAATCCCTAATTTAATATAATTTTATTTCAATTACAGAAATGTTCCAAAATGGATCTAGCAGTATTATGCGTGAATGAACTGCTAGATGCTGTACGGAGAGGGGACTTAGACGACGTCAAGGACATAGTTGACTGGTTCGAACAAGACTTGGATTGCAACAGAACGTTTTTAGTTGCAGTGTACGCCGGAGCCAGGCCATGTCCTACACAGGACGAACTCGTCATTGCCGCGTGTTCCCACAACCAGAAGTGTGTCCTCGACTACTTGCTGAGTGAAACTGATATATTGGAGTATCTCACTGACAGTACACAAGACATCACACAAGTGATTGAGAAGAGAACCGAAGCGGTCAGACATGCGCTGCGGCTGGAAGATTTCGATATGGTGGAGAAATTGTACAACTACTGGAGCGGCGACTTGTATTGGAACGGACACGAAAAGGATAAGTTTAAGAATCTTGGAAAAATACTGAAAGACGCTGAAAACCCAGCCATTGTAAGGGACCAACAACTGCTTATTAATTTTAAATCACTCGTCACACTGAATGACTTTCAACAAGAGCTGTACAGTAAACTGCCACAGCCACAGTCACATGACGCTCCCGCAGAAGACACTGCTAAAGTACTACTGACTGTGTTGAGTATATATGACAAGTATTCAGATATAGATAGGGTAAGAATACCAGACGTTACACACAAAATCGAACTTCTACTCAAATCGTACTTTGAAGATAAGAGCAGCACATACTTCAGAGCACTCGCGTATATTAAGTACGAAGTCTATTTTCGAAAATTGGATTTTAATATAGCGTTACTTCTGTTGGAAAAGTTGTACATTATAAGAAATCATTTAATAAAACGTTTCAAAAAATTCAACGCATATTTCGAAAATAATAAAAAGTTACACGATCAATACAAAAGCGCATCGTCCTCGTACAAGGACATAGAATGTGCTATCTATCATCTTATCTACCGGACGAGTGAAGACTGGAGACTGTACCTACCTGCGGACAGACAGTTAACAGTGGAAACTCATCACCTAGGTGTTTATAATGGTAGCATAATTAGGAAACTTAAAACATCATTCGATCTACATAAGTTGTACAACGGTCCTGTGCTATACTTCGAGCGCAGGTATTTTAAGAAATCAGTCAATAAATTAAAAAAAATATTAAAGAAACATGTCATTGGTAAAGAACCAACAATGACATCAATGACAAGAAGCAACCAGAAAAACTTGGAAATATTATTAGAAGTGAATTATCTTACGCCAATGATGTACATGAGTGAGCATTACTCATTAAGAAAAATTGTTACATACATCGAAGCTCTCGAACAGACTACTAATGCAGATGTCATTATGATTGAAAGAGTGCTTCAGGTTATAGGAGAAATGCTAAAAAACACTTCTGAGTCGTCACATATATCAGACTTTACGAAAGCTCTCTTGCAGACAGCAATATCTGCAGACACCATCAAACATCTACAAGACATTAGAGAGTTCTTGTCACATACTGACGAAGGACAACTGAGCATCAGGATTGATATCGAGAACAAACAAGCTGATATGTTACTAAATGTTAAAGATGAATTAGTGAAAATCAAAGAACAAATTGTTCCTATTCTTGATTATGTAAATCTGTTCTTGATAAATCGTTATTACAAAAAGGTTTAGATTTACTAAAAATTAGAATTAAAAACTTGCCGGATGGTGCTAGACATCGTCTTGATGAAATACAATATCTTTATAAAGAACGTGGAAATGACTTAGTTTCTGTATCTGGGCAATACTTTAGAGAAGTTTGGAAACCAGCCGGCTTGTCACATCAATTGCTCAAAGAAATTCCACTGCTTTTACAAAATCGAGATGACATTTCATCAAAAAAGAATATGGTTGAAAAGGACATAGAAGACAAGATCGTACGAATATTACCAATGTTTATTCAGAATACGAGACAAACTCTGAAACGCATGCAGGAGAACAAAGTTAATGTGGATAATATTAACAGCATGCTAGTAAAATATAGGATCAAATTATTGAACCATTCTCCGGAAATGAGTGACATAAAGGACAGACAGCGTAAATTAGAAAAAAAAATGAAGCAATGTGTAAATTTTCCAATAGAAGATTTATCACGACATTGGAAAGCAATAGTAATATTTATACATAATTGCCTCAACAATTTTAATATTTTTTCTGCAGTTCGTCAATTTAATTTTAACAAAGGTAGTTCTCCAGATGAGTCAACTATCGCAACACTGAATACTATATTGGAGAAGGTAGATGTTGTATGTTCAATGCGCAATTCAACATTAGCCTGGCTTTGTGGCAAACATTTGGTTGAATGGGGGCTATGGATTTACAGACTCTTTAGACAAGTGTTCCGAACTCAAACTACATCATATCCTGCCATAGAACGTCTTCATAAAAATACTGTCTGCAAAGTACCACAGCCTAGTGAATTAAGAAAGTGTTTAATCAATCGCGTCTATCTACTGAGAGACACTCTGTGGTATCCACAACAAATACCTTTACGTGAACATGTTCAGCGATACAAGCGGGATCCAGAGTTTCGTTTTGTGTTAGAAATGCTACTGGCTGACATAGAGAACATTATAAATAACAACAAACATAAATCGAGGAAAAGTGGGAAGTTGCTGGAAGGTATTGTCCTGGGTAACGTGCTGGATCACGGCAATCCATTCTTAGAGGTGATCGGGAATGTATTCGACTGTCACGAGCTGTCTCGGGAGCTCTTGTCAAAAGCGAAAAGTTTTGCTGAAGATCAGAACACAATCGAAGCTCTCTACGCACTGTTCTGAGATAATGTAGACTTTGATAATATTAATCAAAAATTGATATAAACAAAGTCATTTAGAAGGCACGGTACTGTATTTACTGACACTCACATTTATTGTACTAGAATGTATAGTGCATATCTTTAGATGTAAGCACTCGTCTATTTCCCTATTATTTTTTTATTTTCAATGTTTGTTTATATTGTTAATATGCCTTAAAAAAAGCAATGATATTGCTGATAAATATTAACGATTCACAGAAAGACCTTAATTCGAAACTCAAATAGACTCAGATCTGAAAATTTTATGTCCATCTTATTTAGCAATAAAACAGAAAAGTACGATTTTCTCTAATATACTTATCTTATTATTCCTGCAATTTTTTTATGGTGTATACTGGTAAACGACAAATATATTACCTGATGGTAAGCAATGGGCACACACCATGCACATGCACACTTTCTATTGGCCAAATGGTCGCTAGTGACCATTTGGTCGACTGCCGGGCAAGGAGTCTCGGGTTCGATTCCCAGGTAGAGCAAAGTTTTACTGGGTTTATTAACCTTTTGAGCGCCAGGGTCACAAATACGTGACAAGCGAAAACTGTCCCTGAGCGCCAACGACACAAATATGTGACAAAAACAGCGGTACATTAAAACACGAAATAAACTATTTAAACATTACTTTAATGCCTATTTATTTATATACCTGTAAAATAGAAGGTCCAAAATTTATTTATTTCCATAAAACTAATTAAATTGCATTATAAATATTGAGAAATTTTACGTTAAAAAGAAAGAAATAAACTCTGAAAAAAGAATGTCCTCACACGCCAGAGTCATAACTGCGTGACCGCTAGTGATGTAGCGCATGTTGGATAATATCATTATTTCAAATCAAAGATCGATTCGAAACTTTCCTCTGGAATATATTATTTTATGTATAATTTGGTACTAGGATAAAGCAGCATTAATTTTATAAAACCAGTCTTAAAAATCATTTAATAAGCTACATAGTCAAAAATAAAATTTGGTTGGGTCAAATTTCGATATTCACTAATCCCAACTCAAGCGCATCCCTAACGCAACCCGAATTATCAGTACCCTGTACGCCATGGTCACGACTAGACGACAATATCGTGACGTCACAAGCGCGGCGACCAGAAATTAGTGAAGTGAATGAATAATATTTATGATTAATTTACTTGTGATATCGAGTTCAAGATTTATATTAACTCGTCGAGTACCGGTTTTATAGACACAATTAAAGAACAATAGGTCGCGGTCACCGGTGACCGCTTGGTGTTTGACAGTTTAAGTGACTATTATAATGAGTGGGAATTTATTTATTTATTTATTTATTAAAACTTTATTGCACATACAGTCAAATTGGCGGACTTAATGCCGTAGGCATTTTCTGACAGTCGACCATTGGGTGGTGCAGAATGTTAAAGCGGTAGGTGCAAAATTGTAAAAAGAAAGTATGAAGTAGATAACGAAGTTAAGGTAATAAAATATTAAAGAGGGAATTTAATGACTACGGAAGAACTTCGTGGAATAAAGTCTGCCAAAAGTTCCTTTTTTAGCCACGGTGCGCGCTGAGATCGATTTCACTGTCCCCACCACCCACTTTGCACCCAGCGAATTAGATGATCAGAATGCAGGTTGCATTGTAGATTTTGTATAATTTTGTTCTATTATTCAAAAGATTTATTAGTATAAGACTGATTGGTAATTGTGATAATTATATATAATCGTTAATTGTTTTAATTTGTTACTTTTTATGCCAGGTTTATAGAACTTAATATTTAAAAACATGTATTCATAGTACATGTATAACATTTTATTAAAATTTTCTATTTTTTCATAGTTTTTATTTACCTTCTTAACCTATTTCAATCATATATTTTTAAGTACCTGTTACATTCGGAATTATAAATCTGATTTAAAAAACGTGTTTCATTTATTATAAAATAATATTGTACTAGAACATCGATAAACGAGATATTACGTTGCCACATCCTTATTTCGGAAGCGAAGTAGTTATTAAAATGGCGGGCCGTCCACGCCATGGTCACAATATGAAGACAGCATCAAGAATAGTGTTGTACCTACAGTTATTATATTTAAATATTGTAGTCTCATATCTGTTATTACGGTATTATACAAGTCTGTAAATAGTGTATAACTATTACTTTAATAGGAAGAAATGTAATGTTGAATTAAATTTCAATGTTATAAGGACATTATATTTCGAAATTAAAGACGAAAATGAAAATAAAATTGATTATCGATGAAGTTTTGGAATCCCTATTTTTTTCGTAGGTATTTGCGGTGAATTTGTGGCCTGGCGTTGAGGGCAAGTTCATGCGTTTTTGCTCTGGCGTTCAAAAGGTTAAAAAAAATCTCATTCGTAGCACGGAGTCTGGAATTGTGCCTGGTATATGGCAATAGGCTCACCCCCTATTAAATGGAACTCATAACATAAATAATGAAAAGTGGGTGTTACATTTTACAGCGGCATTTAAGTGCCGTAATGTGCACCTCTGTCTACCTACGAGGATAAAAGGCGTGATGTTATGTATGGATGGAGATTATAACTAGAACACATTAGACACAAACCATACATTATACAGTACTGGAAGTGAAAAGACTCAAACTGAAAAACATAAAATCTTCGTCTCCGCTTTGAATAACTTCAGAATCCTTACTAGTATTCTAAATCTGAAAGTGAGTTTGTTTGTTTGTTCCACTTTCACGCCGTAACTACTAAACCCATTGCTTTGAATTTTTGCAGATGTGAAGTTAGAAGTCTGGATTAAATAAAAATTATATTCTCGAGGGAAAACGAAATTATTGGTATAGATGACGCTGTGTGTATTGGTATATGTTACATAGGCTACTTTTTATCCTTTTGTGACGCGAGCGAAGCCGCGGGTAAAAGCTAGTTCTACATAAATATGACGTTGTACTAAACTAATTATCATTATTATTTTGAAAGCGTGTAAGTATATAGGCTGCATCGCAATTCGCAATGCAGATTCCTGCATGCAGAGCCATATTATCCGTGAGGCAACTGGCAAACTGGACAAGTGCTTGCAAGGGCGCCAGGTCACAGAGACGCACCGCGAGACTTCCGTTACCATAGAGTGGAGACGGTAAATATAGTTCTGGCGCTCAGGGCGCTTAAGCTTTCTACGATAAATCCGCCTCTGTCTACACGGAACCACTCTGTGAGATCCACAAATTATTGTTCCTGGTTTGAATGTGATGTGTAACACGTGTACCTTAACTTAACTTAATATTAAATTAGATTAGTAGATTCCATTTGTGTCAGCTTGGAGTTGTCATGCTCACTCAATGGTCTCATTGGCGGTGGAGCGTGCAGTGGATCGCTCGATTCCCTACAATATGGTTGAGTTGGGCGGTGCTCGTATACGTGTCATGTTCGTGAACGGGCGCCGTCAACTGGGACTGGCTCCAGACTGTATTATTTATTGTCTTCAAGGTTATTTTCTTTTTCGATCACTTGAACTAGATTTTTGTATATACACTCGCCTTACAAAAAAGCAGCTTCATTGCCGATGATCGTCGCCCATGAGCACAGTTGTATGCATATAAACAATAATGCTTGTAAGTGTGGGAAGCTTGAAATCGTGAAAGAACACACCTACCTTGGACTAATAATAGATCATAAGTTTAGCTGGAGATCACATGTTAACCTAATATGTAACAAGTTAAGAGCAATTTTGTCAAAACTATGTGTGCTCAAACATAAAGTGCCATATAGAACACTGAGACTTATGTATATGTCTCTAGCTGATTCGGTCATAAGTTATGGCTTAACTAGCTATGGAAGAACGTATAAAAACATATA